CACACACACACACACACACACACACACACAGACACAGACACACACACACACACACACACACACACACACAAAGGGGGTCCGAAATCGCCCGGCAGGTGAGTGCGCTGGGGGGGCCCGGCCCACAACCGGGTGCACTGCCCGGCCAGGCTGCCCGGGACCTCCCCCGGGCCCCTGCCTGTCAGCCGGGCGGCCCAGATCCCCACTCAGTTTTTTTTTGAAAATGGATCCCTTCTTTTTATTAATAAAACTAGGCACCAGAGCCAGTGTCCCTTACATCAGGTACGCACACCACGCTCCCCTTCCTTATGGCGGTCAAGGGACCCTGAGACTGCATGTTGCATACTCGTGAAACACAGTCATAAGTATGCGGCAGATTCCCAGAACCGACCAGATAATACAGAGTTAATACAAATACAGCGGAAGACTTGAGATACATGGACTGACTCGGACCTGACTCAGACTGCAACGAAACACTCACAAACATACATCGGTGGTGTGAAGCCCTGGCCTTGGACTTAGAAGAGAAGGCCAGGGGTAAGTAGCGCATCTGTTTTGGGTACAGAGGGTCATAGGTTCGAATCCTGTCACCTTGAGTCAAAATCGGAGTAAATTGACATGAAAATCAATCGACCATTATCACCTCATATTACTATTTATAAGCCACAATTAACTTCTACTCTCTCTATTTTTCATAGAATTTGAGGTGCTTTTTTAGCTACTACTGTTTTATTTAGTATTCTTTTTGTCAAAATTTGTGAACTTAGTGTGACCTTTTATCACTTTTATTTGTTTGTTTTTTACGTCATTTGTTATTTTCATTGGTTAATCTTCAGTTTGTTCAATTTAGCTTTCTTAGCACTCTGCTATCATATGAGCAACGGAATTCGACATTTATTGTGGGATTTAGCATACACGGATGAAATGAGGGGAGGAGAGACGAAAGGAGGAGGAGAGGGAATATGACGTAAGCTCAATGTTTCCAAAGATAGTATGTCAAAATGTCAGAAATAGTGAAAATCCGAAACGTCGCAAACACAGAGTCTCACAGTGTTCTGATATCGTCCTCACAATGTCAAGATACATCCTCCGAGGTAGATGAAGTCGGATCCCAAAAGTAGTCCTCAACCTGCAGTCTCAATGTCGCTACCTCTAGTATCATCAGAACCCGTAACCATCCTTCATAGTCGTAGTAGTCCAGTAGCGTAACCCAAGAAGTAGTCTTAGACGTAGAGGAGAGAGAGAGAGGGAGAGAGAGAGAGAGCGGAGGAGGAAGAAGAGGGAGGAAAGGCGAAGCCTTTCTCCCTGGTACCTGGCTATGCAGGGCTAGGCACTGGGCCGCGGGCTGGGCCAGAGGCTGGCGCTATCCCACTGCTGCGCTAAGGCGCTGCTGTGCTGTTCCTCCTTGCTGCTGCGCTAATCCCTTCTCACTGCTCCGCTTCTTGCTGGAACGCTGCGCTAATCCAGAAGACTAACTCGTAGACTAACTGTAGACTAACCTCCCTGACTGAGGCTGGTACCCAGCTGATATAGTGCTGGGTCGGTTTCAGTCCCACTGAGGGCCTTCGGGTCTGGACCGTTGATGAGGCCCAACGGTTCAGATCCGATTTTGAGTCTGAAGAGTGGCACCGAAACTGCGCCGCCAGCCGGTCCTACCGATGGACCGGTATCTGGCCTAACTAGCCGTTGGGTTTGGTGGGATCTAAATGAGGTGTACCGGACCCTGGACTGAACCGACGGTTCCCAGGCATACCTGGACCTAACTGGAACCGTCATGACCCGGTAACTAGGCCTACCCGTGCCTACTACAGAACCGGGCCCTAACTGGGGCCCGTGTGGTATCAGTATGCCACACTGCAGCGCCTTGGGCGTTCTAGTCGGATGAAGACAGTAGTTGTGTTCCCTGGGAAAGCCAATTGCCTCCTCTTCTGACTCCAACAAACAGCTAATCACTATGAAAGTCTGGGTCATTCCTCTCACAGACCACTTATAGTCCTCCCGTTTTTTTTTCTTTTGTTTTTCATAAATAAAGGGTAACGGCCTTGAAATATCCCCATTGAACTGACTTGCCCTAGGTGATTCAGAATTGCTTTAGTATTTTACTCATCTGCATCCGGCGCAGATCGAACTCGGGTCTGTATTTCAACAGCTCAGGGGTGTACCAAGTGAGCTAGGCCAGTTGGTATTGTCCCCGTGGTCTTATCTAATACTTTGTCCCAAATAGACACAGAAAAAGGCAAGTCTCATTGTACCTGCCTCTCAAATAATCACCCCACCATACATTCCTCCTGGATGTCTTTTTTCTGATACATTCCTCCCTGAGGTCTTTCCTTGAGGTCGATTATAGAGTATGTCAAACATTTGTTTCCTGTTTTCTTAGCTATTGCTTGGTTCCAGCAGCCATGCCCTCATGCTTTTGAAACCCCTCCGAAATGTCATCCTCAACCTCGCTGCAGTTGTCTTTCCTTGAAAACCCATAACGAGTCCAAGACTTGGTAAGAAGATTTATTTTCAACACTCTCTTCCTGTTTTGTTAGTTATTCTTTCCTTTCCCCTCCCGCCCCACGCCTTGCCCAGCCTTCCCTCTCCCCCCCCCCTCTTTCTCTCCCCCTCTCCCCCCACACTATCCGTACATATCTGCCCGTCTGTTCTTGAAACACCTTCCCTCCTACTGTGCCCTCTGCAGAAGTGTCCATGACACATTTGAAATTTCTGAAGCTCTTGAGGTACCTAATTGGATATAAAAGGGCCGGAGGTTTTTTTTTTTTTTTTTTTCCGTGCACACCTATTTGGATAGAAAAGTGCCGCAGGTCTTTTTTTTCTTTTTTGAAGTTTTTCTCCCTCTTTTCCAGCGTGTACTCAGTGCCGGCCAGATTAATCGTGTCACTCCCCTTGTTCAATAGGCATTCCATGACTTCGGTTGACTTGGCAACGTAGGAGATAACATTCGGGTTCTCGATTTTTACCCTTCCCCTTCTGAAGTTGGATAGATCGAAAGTACCCTCTCTTGTTCGCCTATCTTCGTATGCTCTCACGATATCATCTTTCACCTTTTTAGGAATGAACCGAGCCCCTTCCCGAAAGATAATGGTGACCGTGTGAGCTTTTAGCCAGGTCACTTTGGCTTGGTCAATCGCCAAATTCACTTTGAATCTTGCCTCCCTGCCTTGGATGGTCATCTCGCCGGGGTCAATGTCTGGCGGAAGGACTCCTTCGTCATAACATAGGCGAAAGAGCTCCTTCAAGCGTTCCTCGTCTTCTCCTGTGGCTCCGGGTACTGTCGGCGGTGATCGTGCTTCCGGACCTGCTGGCTGCTCGTCCATCGCCTGGTGCTGCTCCATCTTGACCTACACAAAAAAAGCTTCCGTACTTTCTCCAGCGAATCTAAAAACCCTAGGACACCAAAGTCTTACCTACTCCAGGTAACTTATGCTCATATCTTACCTCCCTTGGTAGGTTCTGTCGACGACATTACCTTCGTCTACGATACAACCTATTGGACCTCCCCTGGCACTGGCTATGGGGTCTTCACGGCCCAAACAACCGTGACCTTTTGACGCTGCAAGTAGGTGACGACAACCATATCCATCGTGAAACTATCTCGATGGTAGTCTCTACGATCCGGTGCACCATCCTTGAATCCGGTCGCGCCTGGTCCGAACGCTGCGTTAGCGCCGGTGGAGGCGCGTCGGTTCGGTCCCAGTCATTTTTTTTTTTCGCAGTTTTTTTTCCCCGTGCAGTGTGAGGTGCACAGCGAGCACTGTTTTTTTTTTTTTTTTTTTCTGGTGTTCGCTCCTCTCTGCATGTGTTCATGAGAAACATGCAGTGTGCAGTGCACAGTGGGCACTGTTTTTGGTGCAGTGTGCACTGCGCAGTGGGTGCTGTTTTTGGTGCAGTGGGCAATGCGCATTCCGCCGGTTCATCTGTCCTCTGCATGAGATAACCATCCTCGTTGTGAAAGCGGGACATTCATGCAGCTTCCTTTGCTTCGTGCACAACCTGTTTTGTCAGCAACTGTTTTTTTTTTTTAATCTGTTAGGAAAAAAAAAAGAGGGCCTTACGGCTCTGGCTCCACATCCATTCTGGGGAGTGTCAGTCCGGTTCCTTTTTTGTCTTTTTTTTTTTTTATCTAATCTATATTCTTCTCTCAATATGCCTCCCACTACCTACCCACCTAGCCTGGAAACGATACACTCTTTATGTATGGACCGCAACCCAGCTACACCAGGGTTAATGGGTTGAGCCTATCCCCTCAGCGTTGAGCCTAACTCCCAGCGACGGGTGGAAAGGATATTGACACTCCCCGCCAGTCAACTAGGAGAGGCAAGCTGACTATCTCAGCTGGAGAACGTACAGCGCGCCTCAGGGGGCCGTATCAGTCAGGTTCCTATGCCACAAGCAAGTCAGAAATACAACTTGCCCCTACTCCAATGCTTCTCCCCTTTATGGTAGAGAGACCCGACTGAACGGCATCGAGTTTCTTTCAGGTCGGACGAATGTGCCTCCCCTCACCCCTGCGTAAGTTACTCTATAGCTACTGAGCCGATGCTACGTGGATGTTGTGCTGCTGCTCTCGATTCTTGGAGTTGCTGCTAATGCTCTGTCTAGCCTAACTACTTGAGCTGCTCTCAGTTGAATTTGTCAGCAACTGTTAATTGCCTTGAAGATTGAAACTCGGAGAAAGAACTTTGGTTCGTTTTGTGCGAGAAGAGCACAACATCAGCAAAGACAAAAAAAACACAACACACAGACATTTGCATCCTCTTCTTTCAGCCACACTGTTAACTTTGGTTCGTTTTGTGTGAGAAGAGCACAACATCAGCAAAGACAAAAAAACACAACACACAGACATTTGCATCCTCTTCTTTCAGCCACACTGCTAATTGTGTGGCGACAATCATCTCTTGTACGCGTGGAGCAGGTACTTTGAAAAGCAGTTCGATTTGGCAGAACAGCTGAAGCTGCCTATGTTCTTGCACATGAGAGCTGCGGCGGACGACTTCGTTGATATCGTTCAACGGAACAAGCACAGGTACAATTGAGATTGTGTTTGTGATAATTCTTTGTTTGTGTCTTTTTTTTTACCTCAAACCACTAGTACCTTTGTCGTTTCGGGAAATATCGGGCCTCCGACCTTTCAGGAGGCCGAAACTAAACAACGGCCGCCGATTAGATTTATCAATGGCAGCCGTCGTCAGGTCCGGCCTCCGAATTCTTCGGGAGCTGGCGTTTTCCCTCGTTTCTGAAGCGGCAAAGGTACTTAGTGGTTTAAAATCTTTGTCACTTAAACTCACTTTTTGACAGGCCCGTTTCTTGTGCGTGCCCGTTCTTCTTCACAGTGTGGAAATAACCATAGGTTCGCACTTTGGAATCTATAAGAGTCTTTTTAATTGTGATTCTTTTGCGGAATTTCAGTTTCTTCCTTTTCCAAATTTCAGCTATAATGCAGAATTATAGCACTGCATTTGATCAGCTCAAGTTCCATCATGCTCCTCTTCTAGGCCGCCCGGGTCACCCTATTTTATTTTCCCGGAAGGCCCGGCCGTGCAAGGACCAGGGAAGGTCCTAGCAAAAAAAAAAAAGAAAAAATCCGAAACAAAATCTATGTTATGCAGAAAAATAAACTGAACAACTTTTGCCTCAGGGTCACATCGAAATTCTTTGCGAAATCTAAAATAAAAAATTTAATTAAAAAATATTTTTTAATTTTTTAATTTTCTTTATTTTTATTATTTATTATTTCTTGGTCCGGCCGTGCAAGTGACCCCGGCCTAGTGAGGTAGTATAAAATTGAATAATAATTATAATATAAAATTGTTACCTAGGCTACCAGAGTGGCCCGGGAACACTTGCCCGGGCCGGGCCAAAAAAAATCGAATTGTAATTTTTATGCTAACCCCGGACCCGGACACCGGACACTTCCGGATTGTCTTCAGTGTTAACGGTGTGAAGCGCGATGTATAGTTTCTGTTGTTGTCACCTTTAATCCACACAGTTTATGAATGAACGTCACAGATTTCTAATCTCTCTCCCGCCCACGCTCCTCCCAGCACTGCTGGATCTTTTCCTTCAGGTTCATTGCTGGAGTCTCCCATTCATTCACTGGCAGCACAGATGATTTGCAGAAGCTTCTTTCCATCAACAACCTTTATGTTGGTAAGTCCTCCTTTCTTCTCTGAAAAATGTGTGATTCGGCCAGGTTCCCTCCTTGTGGAAGCTCAATTCTTCTCTCCTGGATGTGATTTGCAGCACGGATGTCCGCATGTCATTTTGTTCTCATGGATGTCAGCATGGATGTCAGCATGGATGTCAGCATGTCAGCTTTTTTTCTGTGTGTGGGTTAAGGAAGCATTGAGATAGATTGTTTAGTTCTTATGACATTCCTGTTTTTTTTTGTTTTCTTTTTTTTTTTTTTTTTTTTTTTTTTTTTTTTTTTTTTTTTTTTTTTTTTTTTGGACATTGCTGGTGTTTTATCTCCCGGGAAAGTAATGTGCGAGAATTCTCTGTCAGACGCACACGGAGCCACTTCACCAGTTCTACGTATTGCATAATCTTGAAGAAAGGAGGAGATGAAACGGAGCCCGTGTGGCTAACTTGTACGTACAGTGGTACACTGAGGAACTACTGATAAGCAGACGTGAGTGCGAATCGTGATGGGATTAGAATCATTAGATGAATATATGAAATAACGCTGAATCGCCTGCGGTTGGTCAATTGGAGATTGGACACGCTTTCACACCGCCCACAGTTGTTTTGCCTGTCTTGTCCTGTCATTCTTCTCTTCATTCGTCGCGACATAATGTGGGTGTACCGTAATGTAACTCCTTGCCATTGATGATAACAAAGTGTATGACGCGCCCATGATGCAGGCATCAATGGGTGCTCGTTGAAGACGGAAGAGAACTTAGATGTGATGGCAGCTGTGCCTCTGGAGCGCATGATGATAGAGACGGATTCTCCTTATTGTGAAATCAGACCTACACACGCAGGGTATCGGTACATTTCAACTACTTGGCCATCGAAGAAGAAGGAGAAGCACGACATCGGTTGCATAGTGAAGAACCGAAATGAGCCTTGCCAAGTCAGGTTAGCGCTACAAACCACAGCATACCGTATTAACCACCCTTCCCTCCCCCCGCCCCCCTCCCCCCCCCTCCTTCCCCTCCCAGGTAATGATCCCTTCTTTCCCATGCACCTACTATGCGACAGGCTCTATCTCACTCCCGAAATATATTTTTTTTGGACAAAGACCTTATTAAGCCTGCTCTTGACTAACCAATTCACCCAAGCCCCGATTCGTCTTGCTGCCAAACCTTCATCTACAGTCAGCCAAGTGGTGCAGAACGGGTTTTTTCCGGATCATGTTGTAGTCAGTGCTCTCGACGAATCATCTCGTAGTCAGACTGCTCTCTCTCTCTCTCTCTCTCTCTCTCTCTCTCTCTCTCTCTCTCTCTCTCTCTCTCTCTCTCTCTCTCTCTCTCTCT